TTTTTTTTTCTAACTTAAAAATTATTTTTATTATTAGATCTAAATTTAATAGTAAATCTAATTTTCTTTCCATTGTTTAACAAGAGTAGTACACGGGGTACGATACACGGACTGTATTTATTTTGTTAAAATTTATAATTGAAGGCTATTAATCAAAAAGTTATAATACATAGAACATTTGTTAGGTAATCGTGAAATGATCATCATGAAAAAATCATACATTATTAAAAACTCTTTGTTTTTTCATGCAAAATTATTTTTCACTTGGTAATCGTAAATCGATATTTACCAAGATTGTTCTCCACTTGGTAATTGTGAATTGCATAGACACCTCATTCCTTCATTTTTTTGTATTGATTTTCGGAATGTTACCACAATGAAATAAAATTATAGTGAAAATATGTAATATTGTGATAGATATTAAATATATGATAATCTAGTGAAATTTAATTTTATATTGAGTATAAGGAAAATTGTTACCGTAAAGTTAAAGTGTGGATTTTTAGTATATCTTTTTTCTTTTTGTCAATCATTCACATTTTTTATGTCAAATTCATTCCAAAAATTGAGAATGATTTTATTTTGTTATGTTTTAACAGGGATTTGGAATTTTGGTTGTATCTTTTGTAAAACATATTTTTAAAAATAATTACGTTTAAAAAAACAACAACGATATTTTATCATTTGTAAATAAAAATTAACTAAATAAATCGTGGGACATGTAAATCACGGTTTTTAAATGAAAAATATGTTTCACAAAAAAAGTGATAAGAAAATGATTCAAAATGACAAAAAGAAAATTGTATATTATAACAAAAAGATATTTACATGAGTAGTGGATTATTGAATTAAAAATTGTGGCAATTTAAAAAACATGTTACCATGATTGAAAAATCTTTAGAATATTTTTTACTTTTAGTTAAGTTGCATATATTGCATAACTATATATGAAAAAATAAAATATTTAAAGTTCAAATAAGCGATTTATTTATATGTATATAATAAAGTGTACAGTCTAAATAATTAAATTTTTTTTAGCATTTATATCGTTAATATTGATGCCATGATTATTGTAAAGTCCAACTCTCATTTTACGGTAAATTTATATTATACTAAAATGAATTGATAAGTCTAAAAAGAGATATGTATTGAATAAAAAAGATTGAATCATTGTTAAATATCTTGATATCATAATTATAATGTTTTTAAAAAGATATTCCATAAAATTTGATTCCATAATAATACTGCTTTTAAATATAATTGATTTCAAATAGTCGGATTTAGTGTTTAATCAAATATTATGGAATATCTTTTTAAAAATATCTAATTAATAATTTATTTTTTGTTTCTTATTTATATTTTATTTTTATTTTTGTCAATTGACAATATTATGTTTGATAACATTGTGCACGCAGATAATTTTTTAGATATAAAGTTGTGAACTTAAAAAATATCTTATGTGATTCATAATCCATATAAACAATTGACATTTGTCAAAATTTATGTGATAACAACATTTATGCATTGTAAAAACTCTTATTTTGTTTTAAATAATTTCAAATATACTTCTATCTATTCCAAATAAAATTCATACCACAAAATCGAACATTTATTATTAACAACACATTTCTATGAAAAAAATAAAAATGGCTATCAGATACTTAAAATAAAATCATCAACTTTATACCAAAATTGGATTTATTAATTTTGTCAACTTTACACCTTAAATCAATTAAGTATTTTCTAAAAGTCATTTCTACATTTTGTCCAAAATATTTTTTAGCGGCACATAAATGTTATTTATATTTTTATATTTGGTTATCTTGTCTACGAAGAAAAAAAAATCTTGCAATTCTACTATGCCAACAAAAAGATGTATGAAAAATAACATAAGTATTAATTTATTTTGTTTTACTCAATACAGAAAATATAATATAGATATAAAGATTAACGATTAATTCTTTATAATTGCTCAATCAAGTCTATATATTTAACCTAAGGATTTCGAAAGTTTCTATAATACCCCCATATTGTTTCCATAAAACTAAATCATCGTAATTTAAAATTCAACTAATAAAGGTAATAACCATAAATATTTGACTAGATTATGTACATTATTACATTGATTTTTGCTAATTTACTATTTTTAGATAATAATTAATGAAATTGGCTGGAAAGTGTTTCTAAAAGTGAATTATGTTAATCCTTTTTATATATTAATAGATATTGTTTTTAGTTAAATATTATTTTTATTATTAGATTTAAATTTAATAGTATAATCTAATTTTTTCTTCCTATTATTTAACCAAAAGTGGGATATTTTATGATAAACAATAATAAATGTGTTGAATAATAAAATATAATATTTAATATTATAACTAAATTCTACGACAAATAAAATTAAATATATATATATATATATATATATATATATATATATATATATATATTGGGTTGAAAATTCAAAATAAGATCAATAAATTTTTCTGTGAAATTTCAAATGCTAAAGAAATCTTTATCGCTTTGATTTTGATATTTAATGATATAAGCAGTATGCTTACAATACTAATCATTATTATTGTCAACATAATACAGTTTTTTTATGTCTTCCTTTTGCAAAAAAGTTTACGTTATCATTATGAAATTATATTAAAAAAAATCTATTAAGGCACATAATAATAATAATAATAATAATAATAATAATAATAATAATAATAATAATAATAATAAATTAACAATATTATTAATTCTATACAATACCAGACTTAGAGAACAACGAACGAACTAATATCCCCTTAAGTATCTCGATGAAAATCCCCACCAATGGCATCTTTCGTGGAAATAATATTGTTGCGTATTTTAATAAATCTCAATACAAAAGAAATAATCCGAGCATTAAGAAATACAAGATTCTAGCAATGCATTCAATTGTCCAAAAAAAGAAGATTTGATTGAGTATCAAGGGGCAAGGAATTCAAGCCAAAATACAAAATCCAAGTAGATCACTTTTTTTTTTTTTTTTTTTTCCATTCACAAGGATGTGCATATCTTTCCCCATTCTTGTTCCATAATGGTACGGAGGGAAATGGGCAGCAAACTAGTGACGCCTGAGGCTAGATAATCACTCCATCTTCTACTCGAAATGCATCTCCATCAGCAAAAGACATGACATCGAATAATATGTTGCAGCTTTTAGTGCAACTTTTTATCTACCTAGAATAAATAGGCATTTTTTGGATTTATTTCGCGAGTTCAAGGTTCAATATAACTGTAGACGTATTTGAATCATGGCAACCCAGTGCTAGTAAATGTATGTCCCTTACTCTTTGTTATGGCATAGTATATACTCACTTGAGTAATGTCGATAATTCATTTAGCAGAGATATACAACTCAACAAATGAGTTAGAGCTCGAGATGTGCGCTAGAGGTGAGAACTAAGCTTGATGTGTAAGAAAGAGCTCAATGAGTGAGTTCAAGGCGTTGTAGCAAATTATTTTTATTTATTTTACCGAGCACCGAATTAAATGATTCATTTTCCGGGTCGACCACAAGAAAGGAAAGTAAATCCTAAACACTGTAATCAAGATAGATCGGGATAATTATCAACTAGGAATAATATAAAAGCAACTAAAAATAATAAAAAAAAATACGAAAGATGCTGAGGAATCGGGAATGAATTTTTTGAATCTAAATGAAATTATCGGCTAGTGATCATTCGGTTAAAAGACTTGACTAATTAACTCATTTAACGGTTTAACCTCAATACGTCTCCAAACATGCTGATAAACATCAACAAGTTAACACATAGACAATACGTCTCGAACATGTCTATTTCGTATGAGTCTCGATCAATTGACCTTTCCCCTTTCGGTTCAAGAGTCGATTAAAATAAACTATAGGCTTACCAGTCGTCTAGTCTATTCGGATCGTGATTGTCAAAATAGAATGCATCGTATTCAATTTGAAAACAAGTTTAATATTGAAGTGTCACTCTTCAATACTTAGAAATCAATTGCAAGGTCGAATTGTCATGTTTCAACAATATTTAACATTCCAAAGTGAAAATCAAAAATTGAATTTAAAACTAACTCATACAAAGTGAACAATCAACGAGCACGATAATCACTTACGAAATCAAATATTCATTCCCTAGCAAATAATTTTAGCTATTCATATCAAAAATAAACTCAAAATAAGATTTATTGCAAATCATCATTATAAGAAGGAAAACTTATAAGTAATCCAAGTCGAGAAATAATTCTAATACAGCGTCAAACCGAGTCTTTGCTTAATATCCAAAAATCCAAAGAAAAACAAGAAAAATATGAAAAATAAAAACGATGATAATGGAGCATGAGCTCCTCTTGCAAAATGCAAGAATGAGGATGTCTCTTCAATTCAAAACCATGCGATATTTATTAGGTAATTTCTCCTTTTTTCCTCCACAATTTCTTCCTCAAAACATGCTAAAGTGCATTTTTTCTCATCCATAAAACATGTATAAAAGTTCTACTAATCCCACCATGATGAATAATAATATAGAAAGCGGCTCAAAATAAGGTGAAATATCATAAAAAACCGAGTGAAGGGGTCCAGGTGAGGCTTTGCCGCAACTCGCGCGCGCGTCGGGCTGCTTGCTGGCCTTCACGTATCGGGCTCGTTTTGGGCTTGTTCGAAATCAGAATT